TTATGAAATATCAATATACTTCATACAAACCTGGAAAACTAATATCATAGGTCTACAGCAAATCAAAGCCCCCGAGTGTGAGTCCATGCAAAAGTAGGGCATGAAATTAAGCAAGTGGACTCCTCTAATCACTAGGCTGTTTGCCACTACTCATTTATACACATTTATTCCTTTTGTACTTTGAAAAGTCTCACTAACAAGCCCTACTAGGCACTAAAGTACAAGGGAAAAAATATAGGAGAGAAAATTCTACTTATCAATTATTTTGTTTTACTGCAAATTTCGAAGGAGTCCCCATGGTTCTTTTTATCACTCCCTTCTAACTGTTCCTTGGGAGCATGGCTTGAAAATTACTGCTATACAATTCATCTTCCTTGTTTAAAAGATGAGCATCACATTTTTTTACTTGCAAAAGGTCAATGAAAATTAGAAATAACAAAGCATCTGTAAGAACCTAGAGGATCTATGCTCCTATTAAAATTAAAGCCATAGCTGATTTGGACTTCAGATGGCACAATGAGTACTCAGATTTCAAAATGATTTATTTACTTTCACTGTTTCACTAAAAATTGATTGATAAGAAGGGTCAAGTCCCAGTTTTATCAAATGCCGCTGTAGACATATAAACACAAAGAGGACAAAGTAACAGGGTAACTATGCTAAAGGCTGGGAAAGTAAGGGAAACTCGCTGCGGCTCAAAACATTCACCCAGCAGAGTTTCTCAATCTCAGCACTATTGACCTTTGGGGCTGAATAACCCTTCACTGGGGGTAATGGGGTGCTATATTGCATCCATGGAATCCACCAGCCAAATGCCAGCAACACCCCCACCCTAGTTGTGACAACCAAGTATGTCTTCAAACACAACTGTTCTGGAGGGTCACAGAGGAGTGGGGTGGTAGGAGCCAAATGTACCCTGGCTGAGAACCAGCTTTCTAAGAGCAGGAGGAAAAAATACCTGTATAAAAAGAAAAAAGGATACAGACTACAGCTAGGCAGTTTCTCAAAGCATATCACGGTACAGTCGGTCAACTTGTTTCATTCATGGAAATGAAAGCCCAACTTAAACAACCACCTAGCCTATCCAAAACCAAAAGACCTGACAAACTCCTAACACTCAACTCAATGTGGTCAGAAAGCAAGAAGGAATTCTAGTTGAAAAAAGTTACTGAGAAGTGTTAATAACTTCAAGTTTTAAAATGACAAAGCACAAAGACATAGTGAGTGTTTTCTAGAACTCAAGGCAAATACCTCAAGATAGCAAATTGGTTTTAGTACTTCTGCCAATTTATCACGTTGACAATTCCAATGGGGTGGCTGCCTGGAGTCGGAACAGAGCAGGGTTCTGAGCCTGAATGTGAGCTACCTGAATGTGAAGGGCTTTGAAATGAAACAATACCTGCCACAAACAAGCACTAGGGTGTGGTGACAGCTAATCCTCACATTCACCTTCAACTTTCTTTACACTCAAAATAATATCCATCATATTTGACTGTAATAAAATATTTGAAAAAAAAAAACAAACAGAAAAAAGGTAACCAATCCTCCACAGTCCCATCAGGCTTATCTAACTGGGTGAAGAAAAGGAAAAAGAAAAAAAAACAACTCATCATATCAGTGTCCTACTTAAAAATCAGCTCTGGATTCTCAACTTTCAGAGGACAAAATCCAAACCAGCCCACAGGGCCCTTCACAGTGCCTTTACCACACACTTCTCCCAAGTTTTCTGTACCTCCATGGTTCTCCATGGTGCACCCAGCCACTAAATATCTCACTGTTCCAAACAAATACTTGCCCTTTCATACCACCCCCACCACTCCCCTGCCCATAAACTTCTATTCATCCTTCAGAACACTGCTCAAAAGTCACCTTTTTTGTGATATTTTACTTGATTCTTGGAGCCTGCTATTCAAAGTGCCACCTCATCTCTATCAAATTCAAATATGCTTTTTTTTTGCTACTGGGGATTGAACTCGGGACCTTGCGCTTGCGAGGCAGGCGTTGGAACCACTGAGCTAAATCCTCGGTCCGCAAATATGCTTTTTAATAAGATCATTATGTGAATTATGCACACATTAAAGTGCAAGAAGTGCTGTCTTGTGGAACTTGCCAAATCCTACTAGATTCCACTCTTCATAAGCAGGTTCAATGTCTTCCATGCCTGACACATACAAGGTAGGTGAGGCACGCTGGTAGGCTGCCTCAGGGGTAGGCCCTTCTTTACTCATCTCCTCTACTAAGGTAGTCAACCCACATAGCCACCTTTCCGCCTCCCTGGCAGCCAACTGATTACCAATGAGATGTCAGCAGAAGCCTGCTCAGGGAGCTTCTGGAAGAACTTTTATTTCCCTAATTACCTTCTGCCTTCCTGTGAAAAAGCAGGGTGCCATTATCAGGCAATCATGAGGCGACAAACATGAGAACAAAATGCCAGTAATAGGATGCACAATGGAAACACAGAAATGGTCACAGTCCTTGTTGGGCCCAGTAAGCACTGGACCACCTTAGTGCTACCTACCTCCAGACTACTGTGTGAGCACTTCAATATTTCTATTACTTAAGGCACTCACATTAAGGATTTTTCTTTCTTTCCTAAATGCATAAGTGAATGAATGAAGGAAAGTGAATGAATGAATGCAGAGTGAATCTACAAAAAGTTCAGAAAATCATTATTTATTTAAAAACAAGGGGCCTTTACAGGCTGGGGATTTAGCTCAGTGGTTTCGCTGCCTGCTGCGCAAGTGCAAGGACCCTAGTTCGATCCTCGGTACCCAAAACAAAAAAAAAACAAAAACAAGGGGCCTTTACGAATTTCTTCAACTTTGCAAAGTATGCCTTTAATGTCTCTGTACTTTTAGAAGTATTGACCCATTTCTGTTCATAGCTTAATGGATAAAAATAAAAATGTGAACACAACCTCATAAAAAGCAATGAAAATTACCTTTAAGAATCTATTCAACCTTGCCAAAGTATGTACATCAGTCAGTCCCTGCACTTCTAGAACTATTAACCCATTTCTGCTCCTAACTTAATGGATTAAAAAAAAGGGAAAACAACCTCATAAAGAGCAACAGAAATGTTCACACACTGAGATGCTGTAGAAACTGACTCTCACATTTTGAATAAGAATAGAAAACCAAATTTAACCCTGGGCTCTGGCCTTAAAAAGTTTTCAATTGCTGTAGCTTACAGATAACTATATGCAAAGAGGAGGAGGAACAAAAATGAGCCACAGTAGCAAACTGATTGCTATTCTCTTACTTTCTTATTTTGAGATCTTTCTTTTTTTCAGCTTTTATATCAGTCAAGTATTTTCATTCAAATTTTCAAGATCAGTTAGTAACCATGTTTTCCTTTGAGTTGAGCAACATAAATAAAATAAAAGTAAAAAATATTAAAGGAGGAGAAGTGCACACTGGCAGTGTTGCTCCTCAGCAAGAAAACAAGGCCTTAACCAAGTGCAGACTCCTCAACCATATCACCATTTTATGCTGTAATCAAAACATTTACTAAGAAAGAAACCTGATAGCACCAATGGAAAGCCTGTACCACTTGCCATAAATAGACAAATGTAAAAAAAAAAAGCCAATAAAACCATAACCTTATTAAATTCAGCTACTGTTGCCTAACAAAGCCTCTAAATCTGAAGTCTGTTTTCTCTTTATTTAAAAGGGGGGAGGAAAGAGCCAGAGGTTTGTCAAAAACAGGCTGAAGTCAAACTGAGACTCTCCTGGCAGGGTCAGGATAAAAAGAGAAAAAATTGGGGCGGGGATTTACCTCAGTGGTTCTGCCGCCTGCCTCACAAGCACAACGTCCGAGTTCGATCCCCGGTACAAAAAAAACAAACAAACCATGTCACCAAAAAGAGAAGAAATTGAGTTTCTTGCTGTGTGATTTCACTTTATGTAATACCACTAGCGATGTCCCACTCAAGAGAGTCTCTTAGACACTCTCCAACCATCTTTCCCTTCTGCTCAGAGCAAGACTGCAATTCCTCAGTGCCTACTTGAAAAGGCCCTACATCAACCGGGCCCAGCTTACCATTCTGCTCATACTACCTTATAGCTGCACCAGCAGACAGCACAGAAAGGCCCACGGACCATCTCGCCGACTTTACAGTAGCCTGCCAGCACATCAATCACATCGCCAGGTTTTCTTCAAACCACTACCTGGTATTACCTCCTTAACTGACTAAAGTATTTAATAACAAAGGTAAAAGCAGCAAATACACGGGGTACTCAAGACTCAACAGTACTTCACACAGGACGAACCCTATGAAAGTATACCAATCTGTAAGTCAAAAACGGGACAGTGTCCAACCTGACGTATCAACTTGGTTGCTATTAGGTAGGCACCAGGTGAAAAAACACCACGGCACAAAGAGGTTGAGTAACTCGCCTAGGGCCACATCGCTAGTAAGCGGCAAAACCAGGATTTGAACCTAGCTGAACACTCCGCTAATCATACCCACTCCCAAGAATGCAAGATCCATGACGGCAGGGCCTTTCCTGCTCACAGCAATATCCCTCCACAACACCTAGCACAGGCCCTGGCGTGTACTTAATGGGTTCTCAGTAAACACACGTTGAATGAACGAATGAATGAATGAGCCTCCCTTATAATCAGGGCATCTGTCCCAGACCTGAGTATCCAATGCCCCAGTGCTTAGCACAGGACCTGGTGCTTAGGCAGCGGGCTCTCCATACACGCTGGACGAATGGATAGCTGGATAAATGAATGGGGGAGTGGACAGAAGGATGAATGGATGGGTAGGACTCCTTTATGCTCAGGGCACCTGTCCCAGGACCTAGTGCTTAAGCAGTGGGCTCTCAGTACACGTTCAGTGCGTGGATAGATACACGAATGGACAGATGGATGAGCCTCCCTTACAATCGGGGCACCTGTCCCAGCTCCTTCGGAGCATCCAATGCTGAAGTGGGCCCGGCTGCGTGAAGCGGAGGGCAGCAAGACTCGGGCGGGCCGGCGCTGCAGGGGCTCACCTTGAAGTCGCGGCTGTGCTGCGGGGTGTACTCCAGGGTCCAGAGGGCCCGCACCAGGTGCGCCAGCTGCTCGGTGACCTCGCCCTGGCCCTGCGCGCCGCGGCCCGCGGACTGCTCGGGGTCGGGCGAGGGCTCGGGCCGCCCCGCCCGGTACTGGCCCAGCGCCAGGTACTCGGCGAAGAGCTCGGTGTTGCTGAGGCACTGCAGCGTGGCGTTCATGAAGCACGTGTTGCCGTGGTTGCGGAGCCCCGCCACGCCGGGCACCGGCTCGGCGGCGCAGGCGGGCGGCGCGGGCGAGGCAGGCGAGGCGGGCGGTGGCG